TTGAGGGGGGGAGGGACCTCAGCAGGCTCTAATGCCACAGAGTCCACCCGGCAAAGCAGCCATTTTCTCGAGGAGAACTAATCCTGGTCATCTGGAGATCAATGGTAATAGCGAAAGATCTTCGGGTCCCATCTGGAGGCTGGCAAACACGAGATATGGCCCTTTTGTCTCTCATTGCTAGGAAGAAAGAGTGGGGGGGCCCCCACCTGGTCCCGCAGTGTGTCCTCTCAGCTCAAGAGCTTGAGCCGTACAACCCACCTGTGATGCTGCACTTGTGAGGTCATGACCTGTGGCTTGAGAACAACTGCCTTAAAAGGGCGAGATTTTAATCCAGTAGGACCTTAAAGACCAATGGGATTTCCAGGGTATAGCCTTCTGAGCAGTGTTCCCGCTAAGCTGAGTCCCAGATTAGAGCCCGCGCTCCTAATCTACACCAAACTCAGGGCATTTTCAGCTACATTTGCTTTGTGTCCTGTGCTATGTCTTAGCCTCCATGGGTGCTCTAGTGATGTTCACACTGATCAGAGAGTGTGACCCTCGCAAGGCATGATCTGCCGCCATTTGCAATTGTGGGAACTGGATACTGGATAATTTGGCCTTCAATCTTTCCCAGCATCAGGGTCTTCTCCAGTGAGTGCTCCCTTCTCATTTGGTGGCCAAAGTATTTGAGCTTCATTTTCATTATCTGGCCTTCCAGGGAACAGTCAGGGTTGATTTCTTTTAGGATTGACTGATTTGATCTTCTTGCAGTCCAAGGGACTCTCAAGAGTCTTCTCCAGCACCATAGTTCAAAAGAATCTATTCTTCGGTGCTCGGCCTTCCTTATAGTCCAACTCTCGCAGCCATAAAACAAAAGGGGGCGGGAAATAGTGTGAGCTAGCTCACAGTTTATTTAGCCTCCGGCTCACGCACTTTTGTCTCTGCTCAGGAAGGATGAGGCTCCAGAGCAAACTAATTTATGCAGCAGCCAAAATCATTCGCTCACAACTTTAATGCCGGCAGCTCACAAAGCGGAATTCTTGCTCACAAAACCTCCGCAGCTTAGAGGGGAGCATTGCTTTTGAGTCTCAATGCTCCCTTTGTCAAACACCATGGCTTTGACTCTCGAAAGCTGATACCTTGGAAATCTTGTTGGACTTTAAGGTGCTACTGGACTCGAATCTTCTGCTCTTCTACCGCAGACCAACGTGACTACCCACCTGAAACCGTCTAAAAAGTAATCACAGGAGGGGAGAAAGCCACGGAG